CGTCGGACGTCCGTGGACTTGGGTCGAGCTCGAGCCGAGCTCGAGGCGAGCGAAAATCGAGCAGGGGCTCGAGCGAGAGTCGAGCTGGAGTCGAACTAGACGGGAGACGACTAGCTGGGTGGGCCCCATGAGGGTTCCCTCAAACGAATCTCTAACTCCTCCCTCCACCCCCCCACCCTGGCGAGGATGGCTGCATGATAAGCGACCCCTAGCCAACACAAAAACAATACAGCCCATGTTTAACAAAAACATACAGCCCCAGAGGTCTCGGCCTCCCAGACGGGGTCGGGGTAGATGGGGTCGGATGATCGCGTCGCATCGCCGATACATCGGCGGTGCATCGGCGATGCACCGGCGAGGCATCGTCGACGTCGGCGATGCATCGGCGACGTCGACGTGAAGCAAGTCGAGCTCCACATCGAGCCGCATCGCCGATGCATCGCCGATGTGGCCAGATGAGGAGCCCGGCTGATTTTGGAAGAAAAAATGGACAACATACTACAACAATAATCCAAAATTGACAAAAGAGCACGAAAAATCGTCCCCAAACTATTTTAAAACCATTCTCGAGTATTCCTCCTGTATCAGGACCTGCCCGACGTGAGCCCAGCATCGCCGCGCAGGGCGCCCAACCCAGTGCCCCGACGTCCGTGGCTTGTTTCATGACGTCGACCCCCAGAGGTCTCGACCTGAGTCGTTGTCGCCCGAAAGAGGTCCCGACACCCAGAGGTCTCGGCCCCAATACGTCCCGACCGAATCCACGGCACGGGCTTTTCCTCCTGAGCCCTGTTTTTTTGACGGTCCCGAAGCCCGGCGAGGGCCCCTGGAGGACGAACATTGCAACACACCTCCCGCCGTAATTTCTGTTACGACGCGACCGTGTCTAGGGAGGTCTGGGGGCGGCGACGGCGCTACATCGCCGAAGCATCGTCGACAGGCTTGGGTCGGGCATGTCCCCCGACAGGCGGATGTTGGGCGAAAAACGGGGGGGAGAAAGTAGTCGACACAAATTCAAGAAATGCAAAACATACTAAAACATATCATCCCCAAAAACCAATTATAGTCGAAACAAATTCAAACATTGTCAAAACATAGTCGGAAACTCATCCCCAAAAATTGTTTTCTACTATTTTGGAATACTCCTCCTGTAGAGGGACCTGTCTGACGTAACGATAGGCACACGGTATCGCATCTCCAAACCCTCCCTGGGCGGGGTGGGCCTTCTCAAAAGCCCCATCTCGGCGATGCGATGCCTCGCCGGATCCCACCGCAAGGCACAGCTACCCGCAGAACAAGGACGTGCAGTGAGGACGCAGGCAACTCGGCCTGGGAAGCTCCCAGGAGGCCCCTAGGAGGCCCCGAAGAAGCCTCCAAGAGGCCCCTAAGAAGGCCCCCAACAGACCCCCAGAAAGCACCAAGAGGCCCCCACGAGGCTCCCAAGCGGCCCCCAAGAGACTCCCAAGAGGCCTCCAAACAACTCCGAAGAGGCCCCCGAGAGCGCTCGTCGTCGCCGTCGTCGCCGTCGTCGTCGTCGTCGTCGCCATTCAGGGTCGGCGGCACCGGCCGTAAGGCCTTCGCAAAACACATCATAAACATAAACGTTTGGCGCTCCGCGCGGATTTCTTGGATCTGCGCCGGACCCCCCTCCCTGGCGCGCAGAGCGCGCCAGGGGCGGCGCTGGAGGCGCCGTCGGTGGGGGCCCAGCGCAGATCCAAGAAATCCGCGCGGAGCGCCGACAGTTTATGTTCATGCCGTTGTTTCTTTTTCGAGCAGGGGCCTTGGAAGGCCACTTCGAAGCTTTTCGAGAGGGGCGAGGCCAGCGAAAGTGGCCAGGGATGGGCCGAGGGGGCAAGAATGCAAGGGCATCCCTGGGGAAGGTTGCCCATGCTTATCATGCGGGGTGACTGCACCCCCTCCCTGAACTGCCCCCCCCCCCCGAACGTTGGCCCTGACCTTTCGCTCCCTGGCCTTCGGGCCCTAACTCGGGCCTCCGCCCGCCGTTCGGGAGGACCCCTGCGCCCCCGGAACGCGCTCGACGAGGCGCAGCTGATGGAGACCACCCCGGAGGCCAGAGAACTGCTGCAGGGGCACCGCCGAGAACTGTCGAAAACTTCCCTCCGGAGCCCCATCTCGGCATCTTCTCATAGCGACCCCAGGCAGGAGTGACCTTTCGTGCGCGGACTGAGGGGGGGCCAGGCAGGCAACTCCAGGCGCGCAACCGGCCGCTACCGCACCGCGCTCAGCGATCGAGGGCACCCCAGCGAGCCCACACCAAAGGGTCTCTCTCACGCGCACAGCGGAGGCCATTCCACACAGGAAACCTTCCACAAACAACCTAGCCCTGAGACCCCCCGGACGTACATGGATTCTTGGCGTGAGAAAAGGTCGCGCTCCGCATAGCAAAAACCATCGAAAACCATGAACCTCCCCCTGAGCTGCCCCCCCCCCCCGAACGTTGGCCCTGACCTGTCGCTCCCTGGCCTTCGGGCCCTACCTCTAGGTCGGCAATGTCCTCCTACAGGCGGATTTTTGGGGAAATATTAAAAATACACCCCAAAATATGCTCAAACATTGTCAGATTGGTATGTCCAATCATGGTGTCTGGGGTCAACATTTGGTCAGGGCAGAAAGCCCTAAGTGCTCCGACGGCCTACACGTCAGGGCAGAACTGCCCCGACACCGAGGGTTGTCGGGGCAGAATTGCCCTGACAAGAAGACGGCCGCATCTCATGTTATGTGGTCGTGAAACAAAACGCGCAGAACAGTTTTCAGAATGTTGCCATCGACAACGTAACATGTTGCCCTAGATAACGTTGAATGTTGCCCTATATTCCCTCCAAAAAACAACATTCGGCCCACATAAAACAGTATGTTGCCTTATATACCCAAGCAACATTTTGCAAATCAGTACAACCGAAACCGAAAAATGGCCATTGCATTCCATTCGATTGCGTTGCGGTGTATTGTGTTTTGTGCCGCGCCACGTTGCTCGACCTTGCATTGCACTGCGGGTGAAATTCAGAATGCATTGTGCAACGCAGCGCAAAGTCAAATCGAGCACCGTTCACTGTTGCGTTGCATTGCATTCAGCAGCAGTGATGGCGTTGCATTGCATTCTGCCCCTCACACCTCATCCCCCTCTCCCCCTCTCCTTGGCTCTTGTGCCATTTATTTTTTGGGCCATTTTGGCCGCGCTTCATGAAGCGCCGGGGCGCCGCGGCCTGGCTGGCCGAGCCGCCCGGGCGGCCCGCCGAGGCCGAGGCCATCGTGGCCGCGGCGGCTGGGGCCGAGCCGCCGCCGCCGCCCAAGGTAGGATGGATGGCAAAACATACAGGAGGGGAGGAGGGAAGAGCTGAGGATGAAGGCGAATCAAGAACGAGAGGGGGAGGCGGAGGAGGAGGAGGAGGAGGAGGAAGAGCAGAGGGAGGAATTGGATGAGGATAGTGAGGAGGAGGACGAGGCTGAGGAGGAGGAGGAGGAGGAGAGGAGGAGGAGGGCGACGAGGCAAGGGAGGCAAAGGAGAATAGGGATGAATGATGAGGACAGGGGGACAGGGAGGAAGAGGAGGAGGAGGACCTCCATTCCTACTCTTCCTTCACCTCCCCCTCCTCCTCCTACCAGGCTGTGGCTACGCTGCTCCTCCTCCTCCTCCACCTCCTCCTCCTCCTCCACCTCCTCCTCCTCCTCCTCCTCCTCCTCTTCCTCCTCCTCCTCCTCCTCCTCCTCCCCCTGCCTCCTCCTCTCCCTGCCTACTCCTCCTCCTCCTACTCCTCCTTCTGCTCCTACTCCTCCACCTCCTCCTCCTCCTCCTCCTCCTCCTCTTCCTCCTCCTGACTCCTCCTCTTCTTTTCCTGCTGCTGCTGCTCCTCCTCATCCTCCTCATCCTCCTCCTCCTGCCCAGGTGCTGCGGCCCTACTGGCGGGCGCCCGCGCTGCAGCACTACGAGGCGCTGAGCCGGGCCGCGCTGCTGGAGGCGATCCAGCGGCGCGACGCCGAGGTGGCCGTGCTCCGGCGGCGGCTCAAGGACCCTCTGGGTCCAACATTTCCCTCCTCCCACTCTTCCCACCTCCTCCCGTTCTCCTACTTGTTCCCCTCCTGCTGTTGTTGTTGCTGCTGATGTTGCTGCTGCTGCTTCTCCTCAGCCAGGACGCTGGCCTCATCGAGAGGGTCGGCGCCGCCGCTGCCGCGGCGTGCGTGGACGAGGACCCTGGGCGAGGAAACGAAGGGAGAATGAGATAGAAGATAGAGGTGGGAGGAAGGGAGGGGAGGGGGGCAGCAGTGGGGGTGGGAGGGAGCCTTGAAGAAAGGCGAGTGGACGAATGGACGGAGGAGGAGGGGAGCGGCGGAGGAAGAGGAGAGGAGAGGGAAGGACGTGAGGAGGAAAGGAGGAGGTGGAGGAGAAGGAGGAGCAGGAGGCGAGGGAAGAGAGGACAGGGGAGGAGGGGGGGGAGGAGGGGGAGGAGGAGGAGAAGTAGGAGTAGGAGTAGGAGTAGGAGTAGGAGTAGGAGTAGGAGTAGGAGGAGGAGGAGGAGGAGGAGGAGGAGGAGGAGCGCAGTCAAGTGAACCATCCGAGGAGCCAGATGCCGATGACATGGCCTGGAACCTCGTGTATCGCAGCAGCAAGCTGCGCGTGGGGCGCAAGAGCAACCACTTGACGCCCAAGTCCACCATAGTTGTGGGCCTCCGCCGCAACCTGTGCAACGTGTCGGCCGAAAACTTCTCGTGCGTCCTCATGCACGATTAGGCTGGCTTCACGCCGCACTCCGCCACTCAACCACTCAATTCCATCACATCACCTCGACACCTGGCCCGGGTTCCATGCGAACCCTTTCAACTCAACCAAAAACAACGTGCACTAGATAACATAGCATAACATAACATAAAAGTACATCAATCATAACATCTCAACAAATTCAACAAATCATAACACATCATAACATCTGAACGTCACGTATCAAAACATCAAAACACCTAATCATTGCAAGCCCTTGGTTCCAGGAATGGAGCTAGCGGTCATCAGCCGCCAAACGGTGACGGCGTGCGAGGAGGCTGTTGGCTCGGCCTTGATCGGGGCCTTTAGGTTCTTCCACTTCCACTGCGAGGCCAAAATCAGGAGCTTCGCTGGTCGCGCTGGTCGCGGCCACACCTTCATATCGTGCCATTCCTTCAGCAGCGACGCCACCAATTCAGGAGTGTGGCGGAATGCTAAGCTGCAGGCCTTGAAGTTGCTTTCGGTTTATATCGGCGACCATCGCAATGTGGAAACGAATGGTTTCTTTTCGAACAACGTGAGTTTCGAAGCCTATGCAGACTTGCACAAGGTCACGTCCACGACAGCAGAAGCAACGATGGGCCTCATCTGGAAACAACTCGTGTCGTTGGGCTGCCCCGTCTGGAAAAAATATTCGTCCGTCTCGGATGGGCCTGCTGCTGCTGCCGCGAACGTTCTGCACGGCACGCTGCAAGGTGAACATCGGTTGGTGAGAATACTTCTCTACACTAGCGACGGCGGCCCGGATCAGATGAAATTCAAACGGATGCTGATCGCAGAGACGGCCCTCCAGGGCCACGTGCTGGTGATTGGTTACCCATGTCTGATGCACAGGCTGCAGTTGATTATCAAAACAGGACTGGAGTTGATTGATAGGTTCCTTGGCAGGGTCGAGAAGACGTTCAAATACTTCAGTTCCCTGTCAAAAGTTACGCAGGTCACAGGGCCAAGTATAGGCTCAACCAACTTTTGACGGGGACGAACACACGATGGGGGAGGGAGGAGGAGGAGGAGGGGGAGGAGGAGGAGGAGGAGGAGGAGGAGGAGAAGGAGGAGGAGGGGGAGGAGGAAGCGAAGTGAGGGGGAGGAGGAGGAAGAAGAGGTTTTTCTTTAACGGTTGCGGTTGCGCCCGAGGTCTGGAGAGACATGGCTGGCGACATCTATGATATTTGGAAGGGCACCTTCGGGCCCAGAGCGGCACGAGAGTGCGCTGCTCGCCTACCTCCAAAGTGTTTGGCTGGCCGATGGGATTCAATTTACTCGACTGAGAAGCACTTGCGCTTTTGCGCAAGCAATGCGGGCACTGGTATTCGGCAGCTGCCCGCCATCATCCGCCAGGCCGTCGAGACTAAGAAGAAGGGTAAGGAGAAGAGGGACGGCAACGTGCCAGCGTTGGACGATGCCGCCAATGAGACATCGAGAGAGTATAGTGCCCGACTTGGGCGGTGGCGATCGGACGTGCTCCGCACGGTGAGTGATGAGTTATTTTGGATCGTCGTGGACGTGGCAACCGACTCCCACGAGGCCCTCCAGCACCACATGGCGTTCGTATCACAAGCACGGAGCACCGAACACATCGAGACATATGGCAATGTGGTTGCTCAACTTATCATGGGCAAGGGTCAAGAAATACTCGAGGAATGCACTAAGTGCTTCCGCAACTTCCAGTGGGCAGCGGCAATGAGTCACCTGAGCGATCTGGGCGAGCACGTGCTTCCAGATATGCTGGCCTTCACCGTTGAGCTGAACGCCCACCACGCTGCCGCGTACAACAGGAGGATCTTGAAGGATCTGGACAGGTCCAGCGTCAGAGCAAATCGCTCAGGATGAGGAGGACGAGGAGGGGGAAAGGAGGGGGGGTCCCGGGGATGACAAGAAAGGGGGGGAGAGGGTCCAGAGGGTCGGATGACAGGAGGTGGTCACTCCCACATTTCCTCCCGCCCTCCCCCCCTCCAAGGGGGGTGGGGCGGGCAGAAGGCTGAGGGGGTCCACTCGTCACTCTGCCTGCTGTCGTGACTGTCGTGGATCGTGGCCCGAGTGCCGAGGTTTCCATATTGCTTGGTCAAGCTGGCGCACTCACGCCCCTGCGTCGACTGCCGACATCGCCGCGGCCCCAGAGACCTCAGAAAGAGGGGCCGTGCTACGGGGGTCAAGGCAGGGCGCCCACTAGTGTCCACTTGAGTGGATCGTCAAGTCAAGCTGAACCCGCGGCGATGGGGGAGGCCTTGGGCTAGACGATCTTTTCAAGCAGGGCCCTAACCTTGTCCTTTTGCTGACTCTCGAGTTGCACATGCCCAGCCCAGGAATGGCTTCCAGAATCCTCGAGGCGGCGGAGGGCGAGCTGGAGATCACCACGCGCAAGCTCCGAGCCCTGTGCCACCATGATCTCGTGCAGGCGCGTGACACGGGCACATGCGGCACGCTGTTGTACAGCATTACCATGTGCATGAGGTGCTACTCCAAGGCGGACGTCAGGGACAACGAGCAGTACAACAGCTTGATCAGACAGATGAATATGCGATGCAGAAATATCGGCTTGCCTTTGATGAGTTCGCGCATCAACGTGAAGAAGTGGCTCGGGGTGGGGACCAGAGGCGCGAGCATGAGGTGGTCGAGTATCAAACCGCGGGCGGAGGCGCTGCTGAGACAACTCTTGCCATTTGCAGAACAGGCTCAGGGCATCGCCATCGAGGATGCGCGCTTCGAGGCGGCCAAGCCGATCGAGACGGACGTGAATGTCAGTGCTACATTGAAGGTTGCTTGCCCTGTCGACACATCGCCTGCAGCCCTGTGGGCAAAATCATACAGCGTGAAGCTGTTCCGTTGCTCTTCTGGGAGGCCAGACGCGAACCAGTTGATCGTCGTTGGGATGTGCAATCTGGGGAACATCGACGAAGACAACCCCGACGACTTCGACCTGTTAACGTATAACGATCATTCTGTCGGCTACATGATGGCTGACACCAACTACACGACTTCCGAACTGCTGAAGATCAATCTATCACCTTCGAACATCCCAGATTATTTCATTGGTAAGATCAGCGATCCGTGCGAGTTCAGCTAAGAGGCTTCGCCGTTTTGCCGCAATCCCCTTTCCCCCCTTGGGCCCATGAGGGCCCGTGAGCCCATGACGTAACTTCGGCACCTTTGGCGACGGACGAGCAGGGAGCGCGTGGTGTCGGGCCGACGGGGTCGGGTTGAAAATTGCGTGCGCATGTGTGATACGCGTGGGCATGCTATCTCCATCTCAGCCCGTCGACGTCGGGCGAGCGGATATCTTCCATAGACTTGTTCACTCAGTGCCACAGGCAGCTGAACGAACTCACCTTCGACAAAGCTGTAGAAGCAGCGCTATCGCCATATGTAATGAGTTCCAGTGTCCATAAGATGATATGGCGCTACGATAACCCCGAAGAAGTTGCCCTGGATCCAGATGTGCCAGCCATGCGCGACCTCTATGCAATAATTCAGAAGAAAGGATCCATACTCTTTCCAGTGACACATCGGCGGGCTCACGTCGAGATTCCTGCTCACGATGCGCACGATGACGGAGATGCTGCTGGAGATCACGATGCTGGTCTGCCACCTGGCGACCCGGATGATGATGATGGCGAAGCTGATGGGGCCAGGGACGTGCCTGCCGAAGCTGATGCTGCTGATGTTCATGAGTGGGGAGGTCCAGACCCAGCGCGAGAGGCAGCTGAGGAGAAGGTTCTGGGATTGCGGAATAATGCTTGTTGCTTCCACTGGTGTTTCTGATGAAATTGTGGCGGGGATTGGGTGGGGCAGACCTGGAAGGATTCCGAAGGATGCTCGACATGTTCGGCGAGATTTCCAATCCAGGGGCCATCGTCAGTGTGAAACGTGTGCTTTGATGTGAAGAGCCCGGGCGGAACTTCCCGATGGGCCCTGGGGGCCCTGGGGCGTTGTCATGGTCACGGTCGGGTCACCGCGATCGCCCTTCGATCGGTGCCTCGACGACGACGACGACGTCGCGTCGCGACGTAAGGAAGAGATGAGCGCGTTGTGTCGCGTCGTCTCGCCGAAGCGGCGCCGAGCGAGGGGCGGTCGTGTTTCTTCTTGACCCCCAACTCTCAATTTCCGTCTCGCCCTCACTATCCATCTGTTGCCACCCATGCTAGGTCTTGGAGCGCGAGCTGCAGCGCGAGGGCGGCGGCTCGCAGGAGGCGGACGCCAAGCGCGCAGAGTGGATCAAGCAGGACACGGCGGATGCGAATGAGGATTCACAAAGGCTGCGCCTGACCGCCGAACCCAGGACTCAGATCTCTGGCCCAGGGTCACGCAAAATTCCAGTGGGGCCAGTGGGGCCTTCGCATCGCACCTCGGTCGTTCCTCCTTGAATTCACCACGGCAGCCATGGTATCTTCTGGGAAGCGACTTGTCTGGGTCAGTGACAAGGGCGTGCGACTCAAGGCCAAACCAGTGCCAAACCATCAATCAAACAAAGACTGGCTCCAGAGTGGGCCCAGACGATTTAGTGAGTAGTCTTGAGGCTCGTTTGGTCAATGCCGTTCTAGGGTCACAGAAATACAAGAAAATTCGAGAGGATGCGATGCAAGGGCTGGACGCCCGCATGCGCTCCACAGAAGCCGAAGATTTAGATTTCGAGCACGAGTCGGCTGTTTTAGACGTCGTTGCGTTTGACGGCAGCTCGAGGGAGCCACCGTTGCCACCTCCAGCTCAGCCGCCAGACGCTGAACCCTCGCTGAACGTTTCAGGCGCCCTTCGTCGGTGGCGGCAGGGCGCATCTGACGGTGCAACTGTTCTCGATAGTAGCCAGCGCGCGCGAGAACAGTTATGTTTGGGGCGCGTGAGCAAGCCCCGATTTGAGATGTCTATTATGGCGCCGCCCCCTGGCGACAATGATAGTGACGTCACTTGCGTAGAATGGTCGCTCCCTAAGATTTTGTTGGGGAGGCCCGTTAGACTTGAACGCGGCATCGACCCAACGAATCCTCTTCGAACCTGGGAGGCCGTGTGGCCCACAGCTGCCAGGGTGAAAGAGAAGCGGTTTGATGGGTGGCAAGTTGTCCATCCTGCCATTGGCGTCTTGACTAAGACGGGGCCCCGATTTAGGCTCGACCCTGCGCTCGTTGATTTAATTCGTATGTGGGAGGCAGCTCGAGCAGGTGGATCGTTCGCAGAGCTGGACGATACGTGCGTGGCTTGCGGCGAAGAGCCCGCGGCCAACTCAGGCCCCACGGTTGTGTGCCCGCTCTGCCTCTGCCACTGGCACGCCCGCTGTTGCAATCGCATCGAGGAGAAGATTCCCGATGCGGACATCTGGGCAGATCTGTGCCACACGCTGCAACAGCGTCGCACTGCCCACGAACCGCCCGCGTGGCTGCCGGACTTGTTTGCGCAGCCGCTCGCTGGCGGCAAGGAGGGCATGGCCGAACGGGCCATGTGCAAGCTTTGCATGAAAGTCTGTCAGATTGACAGGCCAGGAATCGGCCCTCAGCCTTCAGCAACAGCCTGAGCAAACAGTCAAGGAGTCAAGGAGTCAAGGCGAAGAGGCGAAGAGGAGGGGAGGGGCACGGATTAGGAAGAGGAGGCGGGAGGGTGGAGGTGGGAGGCTGGAGGAAGAGGACGCAGGAGGACAGAGGATGGAGGGGGATTGCTGATGGAGGCAGAGGTTGGAGGCAATATGTTAGAGGAGGAGCACATATAGGCAACATGCATCGTCCTTCTCCTGCCCTTTCGCGCCGTTAACTACTCGATGTGCCCGCTTCCCTCATCCATCCTCTTCCTTCCATGCCTCCCTCCTCATCCATCTCTCCACCGCTCGACCTCCTCCTCCTCCTCAGGCGTCGAACTGGGTCAAAGTGTGATGATATCTCAATGGGGCGTCCAAACGAGTCCAATTGTGATGATGTCTCGATCAAGCGTCCAACTGAGTTAAATTGTGATGATATCTCGATCAGGCGTCCAACTGAATCAAATTGTGATGATGCCTCGACACTCCAAGACTGGATTCCAGAGTCATGTGTTAAACGTGCCAGCGCACTGGAGAGTAACGCCAGCCGCCAGACAGCCATTTTGGCTCGAAGGTCAGTCTGCAAGCCTTCCGCGTGCCGAGCTATCCCAGCCCGGCCATCAGACCGCGCAATCAATGATGCGGTCGTTCGCTTTCATGGGCGACGTGCAGGAGCTGACAACGGTCAACATGTGGCTGGAGGACTTCAACACGTGGGCCAAGGTCGCTGTGCCAGTCCACAAGGGTGACGAGTCCGAGGCTGGCCACAAGCCGATCATGGTCAAAGACATCATCGCCACGCTGCGTAAATTATTCTCTCACTACTCCGACAAGGAGGACAGCACCATCGTAGTCTCCACCGCGCAGGGCAAGGTCATCAAGACTGCTGACGGCAGGAACATATTGAAGCCTCCAACGCCAAAGGCAAACATTTATGCACCAGAAGAAGTATTGTATTCGAACAAGTGGTTCTACATCGGATCTAGCCAGGCCAGCGAGGAGTCCCTGCAGTCGACGCTTGACGAAGCGTGGTCGAAAGAAGATCCGTTGAGCCCAACTCCTGAGAACATCGTCGAGGAGGTCATCGTGTGGGTCCACGACATGCAGAAGTGGATCAACGTGCCTGTGCCCAACTTCGGAGGGTGGAGTCGCCCAGGTGGTCGCGAGAGCCATTGCGTGGTCCACCTCAAGAAGTGTCTGATGAAGGTCCTCGAAGAGCGCGGGCTTGGCACCGCCGACTCCATCGCCACTACCCGGATTTGGAGGTGCTCTGGCGGCGCCACGGCCGTTGCAATCGAGCCGCCGCTGAAGCCGAACACGGTCATCGCCACGCATCTGAGCTACTACGCGTGCATCGACCAGCTTGTGACGGTCAAGACGATCGACGTGGAGAGCAAGAGTCCCAAGACGTACTCCATCGTGGCGGACTGGGAATCCGAGTGGATGGATGACTTCGGTCCGAATTGAGTTGGGAGGTCTTTTTCGTGCGCCGATCGGTGTACGCTATGCGCCGTGCGCCATGCGCAAGGCTGCCGCCTCTTGCGCAGATTCACTGACCGCCCGAGGGCATAAGAGCACAGTTGGGGTGCGACCGTCCTTCGGCCCCGCCGCCTGCGGACAGTGGCCAGCGCTCCGCCCCAGCGCTTCGCTTCGTCGACTCCTCCTGCCGCTCGGAGGGTCGGCTGCGCACAGACAATCCTCGCCAACGAGTCAACACCGTCCTCCGCCTCATCTTAATCATCTCATCTCATCTCCAAGGCCCCAAGGCCCCAAGGTCACCCCAGGGTCCTCTCTTGCGTCTGCCGTCCCGCCCAGGACTCCATTCATTGTGCACCGAGTAACCTCAGGAATTATCCACCACCTCCTCCATGATCCTACTCCCCGTCTGTGCCGCCCTCGTCCTTTAGTCTGTGTTGTTGAGTCTGTGTTGTTGTATTGTGTATATTGTGTTGTGTTGTGTTGCGCTCTAGCGCGGCCCCTTGCCTAAAGGATCTCACCCAAGCACTAAGGAAGCCTCACGAGCCAATCACAAACAAAACCCGTAAGCAAAACAGTCTGAAGCAATTAATTGAAACCATTTACCCACAACAAAACACAGTCATACATCAAGCCTCACGAACGCTAAACAATGATCGACACACAACATAATATCATCACGAAATAATGCGCAAAAAACCAACACGCACACAACAAACATGAAGACACGATCATACAATCCACCCGACCTCCTTATTCGGAACATGTGTAATGCGCCTATTCCTGACCGTGGCTGCAAGCATGCCCGGGCGGCATGCCCCGACGAGAGCGCGTCAACAGGGCAAGTCCTGGCGACGCTGCACCGTCAGGGCGATCGCCCCGACAAGGATGTCTTGTCAGGGCAGTTGCCCTGACGAGGTCGCCCTGGCAAGGCGTTTGCCCTGACGGGCATGGCGGGTCGACCTCGTCGGGGCAGTTGCCCTGACACGACATTGTCGCCAAGACATTGGCCTTGGCGGGGGGGGGGCTCGTCAGGGCAAATGCCCTGACGACGCGGCCGCCTTGTCAGGGCAAATGCCGCGACGGTCAGG